TTATGTACAGCTAGACTCGCATTAGATTATGATGTAGTTCTAAGTATTAACACTGCGCTCGACACGCATCAGGTGTATTTTTAAAAGGATGATTTCGTGCGAAACGACAAATAGAGATCTTACAAGAAAGACGATTCAGATTCAGCACTTCTCGTTTTTGTTCAATTTAAAAAGCCATTTAAAATCGCAATTATCAGTATTATGAACAAGTTAAGACTACTAACAAGTTTTCTCTCAAGAGTACGAGTTTTAGTCTTTCGAGAAATGTCGAAGTCGCAGTATTGTCGTATAATTTAATTTCGATTAATGATTTGTAACCGTGAAATTGCAAATGAATAATTTAAAAACTTTACCGGTTACCTTAAATACTCCTTTCTACTACTCTCCTGCCTTTATGCGATATTTGAGATACATCGTATCCTTCTTGTCGTGAGTTCCGCAATGGAAGTATTGTAGAAGTGATTTTTTTTTTCACATACAAGACGAGTATGAACAACTCAGTTACCTCAATTATAAAAGAATTAATTAAAACAGAAAGACTAAGTCACATTTCATAAGAAACGGGGAGCTTGCGATCAGACACGCTATCAGCATTCCAGAGAAATTTTGCAGTGAAAAATCACACGGAAATATAAATTATTGTGATCAATGCATTATTATCGTAATGAAACAGATCTGCTTGTCCGATCGTGCCAAAATAATCGTTTATTAGGTACAATAACGATGTTATCTTTAAGGATCTCTAGAAATTCTGCGATAAACAACGAAGCGTAAACAGTAGAGCCATTGTTCTGCAATGAGTGGTATGTAAAAGATACAAAAGATGAAGATAGTGATATTTATTTTGAGCAATCGTGTAGAATTTGTTTTTTATTGACGCATGCGCAATTATTTTTACGTATCTTTTTATAGTTATTTTTGCATCATAATGTTAATAACTGCGCGACGATGGCGGTATTGAAAAACGCATCACAATTATTCTGTAAATGAAGTCAAAATAACAAACTATAAATGAAGTAACGGAAATTGTACATATAGAATTTACAAATATAGTATTACACGTAAATGTGTTAGGAAGAAAGAGATTTTTGTATTATCAAACATTACTACGCTAACAGCCAGTCTTATAGTATGTGAACACTGACTGATGACGATCAATGTGTATAGGACATATAATGAATCAAATAAATGAATATTTAATACGAAACAATTCGTTTTATCATTGTGGGTAATGCTCCGTTTCTGCCATAAATTATATAATATATCTTATAAATGATATATCATTTATGCATACATTTTGTATACATTATATGTTTTGTAATTATTTTATTATATATTACTTTATATATTATAAAATAAGTGTTTCATGTGTAGTATTATATTTCATAACTTGTAATATACATGATTTTTTCTAGTATACGACTGATGTATAAAAGGGTAGATACACAACACTCCCATCTCCGATTTTCTTGTAATTTTGTAATTTTATTTTGTAATTTTTTTTGTTTATTTTGTAATTTTCATTCGTAAAGAATATGTTTCAGAAAAGAAAATTGTCACTCAAGTTTCGTTTTTTTTTTATTTAATAATTTTAATTTTTAAATTCATTTTTTTAAACAATGTTTTCAAGTGTTCTCATATAATTATATATGTATATCTATATGTGCGTGCGTGCGTGAATATGTGTAAACAAACTAATATAGGTATACATAGATGACAGATGGTCTATCGTAATTTAACTATATCTAGTGTGGAATGATAATGGAATCGACATTGAATTAATGTCGATTCGATGTCGAAATCATCAAATCGATGTCGATTCGACATCGATTTTATTATCATTTTTCAATGGGCTATAATAATAAATAAATAATTCAGTGCTCTGCATTAGATACACATTTCGGACTGATTTCAGCTAGCGACCCTCACTATCGCTCGAGCCACCGATCGCTCACGTGACGCTCTGGCTCAGGAGCATCTTTATATCTTAAATGTGCTAAAGTCGTATCTTTTGTTATTAAAGAATATCTTACTAAATAATTTTTATTTTCTTAAAAAATCAAGTACTAAATTTTCTATTATTAATGTATTAATATGCTCCATATAATAATATAATTGTAGCAATAATACATGTATACCTTCTGTATAAAAAGTACCGGGAAATTGTCATTTAAATGAACCGCGGAAGAGGTAGCGGTAAAATGTTTTTTTTTTTAGGTTGGCAATTTCTCCCCGAGGGCCAAACAGTCAATAAAGACTATTATTTAAGTGTCTTGAGGCGTTTACGCGAAAATATCCGGCGAAAAAGGCCCGAATTGTGGCGAGACAATTCGTGGATTTTACACGACGAGCCACGATTGTGGCCGATTACAAGGCCAAAAACTCGGTCAATTCTATCGACCATCCACCGTATTCGCCTGATTTGGCACCGTGCGACTTCTTTCTTTTCCCGAAACTGAAATTGCTACTCCGTGGTACTCGTTTTTCATCGATTGATGACATCAAACGGAATTCGCAGCGTGTTCTGAAGGCCATACCAGAATCGGCCTACCAGAAGTGCATGGAAGATTGGTTTCGCCGTTTTCACATGTGCATTGCAAACGATGGGGATTACTTTGAAGGCGACAAAATAAATTTTGATGAATAAATAAAATATTCTGTGTTTTTTTTAACGATTCCCGGTACTTTTTATACAGAAGGTAATAATTACGAATTCCCCGAGAAATGTTTTATACTATATAATTATATAAAATTATGTAAAACTATATAAAAGTTTATATAATTTTATACAAATGGACATATTTTATATACAATTATATATATTAGGTACCGCGGAAAAAAAGTTCGTATCGTTTTTTCTCCGAAAAAGGACACGAATTTTCCACGGTACTTAATATGTTTATATATAATTTATATAAAATTATATATAATTTACACATATATAATTATATACAAAACATTTTTTCCCGGGGAACTCTAATTATTATACGCGTATTATTACTACAATTATATTATTATTATATGGAGCATATTAGCACATTAATAATAGAAAATTTAGTACATGATTAAAAAAAAATAAAAATTATTTAGCAAGAAAGATATTTTTTAATAACGAAAGATACGACCTTAATCGATGCTAAAGCCTCCTGTTTTATCCACATTTCCATTCAGTGAAAAATCTCCGTATTGGATGTACGGATTGCAAAAATATTATTACATAAATTAAAGTACGCATAAATAGGATCTCAACTGTACTGAATTTCATGAGAAAATTGAAAAAAAGTTAAAAAATTCACTTATAGCTCGTACAGCTGTCACCTCAGATATATATTTGCTTGATATAAGAGTTTTAGAGTCCATATCTTGAAAATAAGCGTGCAGCTTAATTACCAAAAGTAATGTGTTAAGGAAATGTTCCTCGGCGACTTGCGTCGCGTGCGTATGAGTACGCTATTTATACCTATACGATGAATGTGCTTGTAGAATGCACCTGCGAGATTACTTCGCAATGAAAACAACTCAAAAAACTGATATAAAACTTATTTATTGCCGCAACAACAGTCTCTCTTCGCGTGAGAATGGCCCCGACTCGTAACACAGAGTCGATACGGCCAGAATCGAAAATGCCGCTTATGCGGCAAGTAACAAAAACAATATGCAGAATACGAAAGTCTAAAAGAGTAACATAAACTCAATCGCGCGTTTGAAGCCGGTCACACTTTCCAAAAATGGATGCAATAACACGTCCGATCACGTCGGCAAGGCCAGATCATACAACAACAGTCTCTTACGTCTCACGTGAGTGACGTGAGAACAAAACGAATTCTAAAGGCTCGTCTACAATACCTGGAGTAAGAAGTAAGAGTAAGAAATTGACCAATCACAGTCGATTATTCTTCTCACATTCGACTGTGATTGGTCAATTTCTTACTCTTACTTCTTACTCCGTGTATTGTAGACGAGCCTTAATGCGCAGTCACTATTGCGCGTTCAAGGGGGAGACACATGGCGCGCCAACGTGAACGGGCTAAATGTCGCCGCAACATCTAGGGACTTATAACCAAATAGAGCGCGCGAGCTAATTCAAATAATATCTAACATACCGCCGCCCTTGAAAGCATCGGCTTTCAACAACTAAAAGATTCTTAATTTGCAAGAGTAGCGTTGAATATAAATAAAAGAAAATGTGAGTGAAACAGAATACAATTAACATATCTTGTGATCGCTACTCAAAAGGTAGAATACACAACTTCGTAATGGGTCGTTTGTATATTCCTTTAGTAGTTCGAACAGAAACGACTCGAACAATTCCATCGGGACCTGGAAATACCTCCTCTACTCGCGCTAGAGCCCAACACATGGGTGGCAAGTTTTCTTCCTTCAATATCACCATCTGTCTGATTTTCACCGGGCTTTCAGATGTTTTCCACTTAACCCGGGACTGACAACTGTGCAAATACTCCTTCATCCAACGACGCCACAGATGTTGTTTCAATTGTTCGACTCGTTGCCAACGTGACAGTCTGTTTGCTGGAAGACATTCCATACTGGGCTCCGGGAATGCAGTGATAGGACAGCCAATCATAAAATGTCCCGGAGTGAGTGCATTCAAATCGCTGGAATCGTTGGATCCGTAGAGGAGCGAGAGGTCTGGAGTTTAATATGGCTTCAACTTGTACCATCAGGATAAACAATTCATCGTACCTTAACGATGCTTCTTTAGTTACGCGTTTCAAATGAAACTTAGCACTTTTGATTGCTGCTTCCCAAATGCCACCCATATGCGGAGCTCTAGGAGGAATGAAACGCCATTTCACCCTTTCAATTGCCATGAAATCGTGAGGTCACATCAGGGAGACCAATCTCCCCTCTTGTTCCGAGCGTTACCACCAGGGCCACCAAACTACCGTGGTTTTTGCGTTACCACCGTTTTGTGGCGCCGTCTAGGGGACGACAACCAGAGATGAGGAACTAATATTCAATATGACTGTCATCGTTTCCGCTACATTGGTACATGTTGGTACATTCTGATCGGCATATTCAGACATATTTGCCACGTTTAGTCCGTTGGTCCGTTCAGTCACTGTTCAGTTACTGTCTTTGGTTTGCTTTGGTTGACGCGATTGTTATATTGTAAGATGGTGCGAAAGTGTTGTATTCCGAGATGTTCTTCGGTGCCAAAGGATCCAAGTCATAGTTTTCCAAAGAATGCCGAATGTCGCAATAAATGGTTTCAGAATATAAATATGAAACCACCAAAAGACGAAAACGAAATAAAAAAATTAAGGATTTGCTATAAGCATTTTTGTGATAAAGATTACAAAATTGATTTTACAAAAAGAATTTTACATTCCTGTGCAATTCCATCTATACATGAGCCACAACACATATCGGAATCAGTTGATGTTCATTGCAATATTCAAAGCAATATTCAATATTCAATGATAAATATAAGAAGGAATCTGAAAGGCAATTTGCATCATGGAAAGATATCGTAGTAGCATATGAAATGGATAAATATTCTTTTTTAATACAGCGACAGATGCCGCAATTAATTGATCGTCACATTTATTCTTATCTTATTCCAAAAATGAAAGTAAAATATGCTACGTAAGTTCTCAGTCATACGGTGGCCAATTTTATTGATTTGGTACTGACATGGAAAAAAGGTAAACTACATTAAATATTAACAAATAAAATGATTGTTATTGAATTTATGTACAATACAACAGACTCAATACTCAAGCGCCATTTTACATTACAGGTATTGTAAAAACTTCACAGGGAGAGATGTATTTACCATCTAGTGCTGCAATGACAGGAGAAGTTATATTGTGTTGGGATAAATTGTTCGATTCCTTCAACAGAAAAGAAAATAGAGAATTAACAAGTGTAATAAGCTCATCAAGCAATCATCTTTGGTTTTGGAACAATGCTGTGAATAGAATTCGAAAAATGGATTTCGTTGAAAGTGCAACGCATAAAGCTATACGACATAATTCGAAATGTCTAAAGAATTGGATATGGACTATCCAAGGCGCACATTATTTATGGAATATACTGCAAACATGTGGCTTTTCTTCGTTTAACTTAAGATTTCTTAATCAAGATCTGGTAGAAAACTCTTTCAGTCAAATCAGAGATCACGGACATAGAAATAACAATCCTACTCCATATCAGTTCGGTTCTTCTTTTAAAATGCTTTTAACAACAAACTTGACATCGAGACATTCTATTTCCACCAACTGCAAAGAAATGAACATCATTGTCGCTTATACAAGTGATCTCTGCAACTGAAAGCAATGAAAATGAAGACGAAGGAATAGAATATGCAGAGTCTGCAATACCAGCAGTGACAGAACATAACATTTTTGTGGCTGCAGATAATATATTAAAAAATATTTTAATGAGTAAAACTGTTATCCAATGTAAACAATGTGTACAAAATCTGGAAAATCAGGATATTTTGAAAAGTATAGACTCCGCATTACAAATTGCAGAAGTGCATTTTGTAGATTTTTACTATACGCTTGAAGTCAAGAAAAAATTAAAAAGTATTTTATATTTGGAAGTATTTTCAAAAGTTTCAACGCATTGTACAATACTAATTGATCATTTAATTAAAGAAACTGCTGAACAGTTTATTATTCAATGGTGTAAATATATTAATAAAATTTTAAATAAAAAATATACAGGAAACTTTGAAAATAATTATATTTATAACGAAGCAAAAAGAATGTCAATAAAGTATACGAAAAAAAAAATTAAAAATGTACGTAAAAATCAATTAAAAATATCGATTCTTCTGTTATCTCAGACCATAGAATAAAATTCGATCACAATTTTAAATGGGACGAAGTAAAGGTCTTGGATAGAGAATCGACTTATAATAAAAGACTTGTATCAGAAATGATACATATTAAACGACAAAAACAGGGTATAAATAAAATGAAGGACATTGAGGCATTGCCGGAATCTTATTCTAGTATTATTCGTGCTCTTTCTCCTTCGTGATGGTTTTCAACGCAATTCTCTTCTTCTTTTCTCTGTCTTCCCCTTCTACTCCTGTTCTCCCCTCCTTTATTCTTTTCTTTCCAGACAGTTCTATTTAATTCCTATTTCGCCGAAGTGTGTCGCTCTTACTTTATTCTGTGACTTACAATAGTAAAGTACCACATATACTCACGTCGCATAATTTTAATTTTTTAATTTTTTAATTTTTTCTTTTAATTATCTACAGTTTATAATATACTGTTATGTTTTTTCACTATGGTGACCTTAACATTGTTTTACGGAAATCACATAATTCAAGGTATTTTATCATCATACTATATACTGATTTCATATAATTTTCTCTGACCTGCTAATACACTGACTTTTGTCGTTTTCAAATTTATTATACATGATTATTATTATTATTTTTTCCGTTTTCTTTATATATTTGTTTTCTACAAATTTTGTATAATTTAATAATTTTTACTGCTATTTTTTTATCATATTTATTCTAATTTGTTCTTACAAATGTTATACTTAGTTTTCCTCTATTACATATTATTCAACTCTTTAAACTTATGTTATCCAATTTTGTAATTTTATACAACTTCAACAGATGCAATGCCGGTTTTATCTACTCAGGATGTCTCTTATCACATCAGGAGACGCGGTAGTGGCTCCGGCCATGTTCAAAGATAAGAGACACTACAAGTCTCTTATCCCGCACCATCAAAGTCCATTTTTGGAGGTTGCATAACTAATAAAATATAAAAAATTTTGAATCGGACGTAA